TTTTAAAAAAACCTTTATCCGCCTATAATGAATAGCCTATTATTGTTAATGTGCATAGTTACGCGTATTGTTTTATAGTTACGGTACGGTTCTGTATCTGTAAAATACACTTTTTAAGTAGTTTCTAGACTTTTCTTTACCGCGTGCTTACTTACAGATTTCCCTTTAACCTTTCATGGTACGAGTTCAAAATGTCCAAGTTGACATTAAGTAGATAATGTTTAGTAGCTTAAAATTATAGGTAATCTAAATTTTTTTTTAAATTTAAAAGTAATTAATTTATTGTAATCTTTTTTAAATTGTAATTTTAAATTTAAAGCTTCGTGTTATAGATTACTATAATTCTTAAATTATGTCTAGCTTTAAAATATATTTATGGGTAGTTTCATGCTTTCACTAGTTTTGGTTATTGGGATAAAAGCCATGACAACATTTTGTTATAAATTTATCTTAATTTAATTTTTATTGAAAATTTTGTTATAAATAAAATTTATCTTTAATATTGTTAATACTTTTGCTCTTTGAAAAAATAATATGTTTCTGGCTCTTCAATAAATATAAAATATTTTGTCTTGCATGAATGAATTTTGGTTTAGGATTTAATTGTGTTAGTTTATGTTTGTCTATCTGTAATTTATTTAGGTTATTAGAAAATTCATGTTTACAGAGTTGTTATTAATCATAATCGAGTTGTGAAACCAAGGAAATTGTGGAGGTTTATTTGTCATATATACTATATATATTATATAATTATATTGGAGGGAGTAAGTTTAGAAGCATTTTTAAATTTTTAAAAAGAAACAAAAATACTTTTCAATATATATCTGTTTTCTTTGAGGTAGAATTAAAGTTTCAGTTTTTTAAAACTTTAAAATAACTTTACAATGTTAAAATGGTTTAAACGAACTTAAACGGATTTTTGTTATTGAAGAAATTAAACTAGATTTAAGAATGAGTGGACTTAAATGTTTGTTTTTATATTTAGATGATGACAATATTGAAGCAAGTAAGTTAAAAAGCATTTTTAAATTTTTAAAAAGAATAAAAATACTTTTCAATATATATCTGTTTTCTTTGAGGTAGATTTAAAGTTTCAGGTTTTTAAAATCATATATATTTTAAAATCATATATATAACTCATATATCTTTGTTTTTCTATTTAGACGTTGGTAATAATATGAAACAAGTAAGTTATAAAGCATTTTTAAATTTTTAAAAAAAAAATAAAAATGATTTTTATTATATATCTGTTCTTCGAGGTAGATTTAAAATTTCAGGTTTTTTAAATCATATATATTATAAGATTTAAGAATGAGTCGACTTGAATGTTTGTTTGTTTTTCTATTTAGACGTTGGTGATAATATCGAAACAAGTAAGTTATTAAGCATTTTTAAATTTTTAAAAAGAAATATAAATACTTTTCAATATATATCTGTTTTCTTCGAGGTAGATTTAAAATTTCAGGTTTTTAAAATCATATATATTATAATATTAAATTCTTTTGTACTTTAAAAATATCTATATTATAGTTACACTGAGTCGTAGAAAAAAATTAAAGTTTATTAATAAGGTAGTAGATTATTAGAGTAGATTAAATTGTTTGATCTATTAATTAACTTAATAACGTACTATTAATATGAAGATTTGTTTTGGTTGTTTGCTTGTTAAAATTTAGTTAGAGTTTATTTAAAATTTAAATTCTTAAGTTAATCAAGAGAGATCTAATAAAGGTATTAATTACATTAGTTAAAGGTGGCATTTAAAATGTATTTTATCGATATTTTAACATCTAAACATTAAAGTGCTTTTATTGTTTCAATACAGAAGTGAAGAAGGAAATAAGTCAGTGTTTTTGCTATTAGATATTTGTTAATTGGAGTTTGTTTATTTGTACTGCCACTGGAGTTTTTAAAAATGAAGTTCTTTAGCTTTATTTTATACTATCTTTTTTTGGAAGTTGGAACAAAAACTAAGTATAAATTATGATTAGTTTAATAAATAAAGCATTAATATTTAGAAGATTTAAAGTTTACTTTAGTTTATAGTTTTGGTTTAGTTTATAGTTTTGTTTTTAGCTTTAGTTATTTTTTTCTTAGACAACTTTATGGATGAAAAGAGGGGGATGGGTAAAACAATTATTTAGATATGTATATATTTATATGTTAACATTATTTTATCGATTATTTTATATTTATTTAATTATATATTTGTCTTTAGTGTCTGGTGGAAGTATAGCTGGTAGGGCTGTGTTTTATATTTTATATGTTTTGTATGGAGAAATATGTGCAATAGGTGAAAAAATTAATTAATAAATATGAAGCTTTTGAACTGGTTGCATTTTTGCCGTATATATTTATTAAAATACAAAATGTTGCATGTTTAACCTTTTTTAATTTGCTCTCTTTCTTTTTTTTAGCATCTTTTGTTTCAAATGAAAATGGTGAGTTTATGCTATTTTTTTTTTAAATAATTGTAAATGTATAATTTTTATTATATTCTTCTATTTGTAACTTTATATTCCTTATCATTCGAAGAATACAAAAATTACCGCTCCCAACACCCGGAACCTCTCTCAGAGAGGTCCTTCAAAAAATGGAAAGATCATGGCGGAATGGATAAGCCCTCCTTTAACTGGAGGGCTCATCCATACCGGGGTGTTGGGAGACACCGAAGAAAAAACAGCAACCAAAAGGTTGTAAATGTCTTCTATCAGTAAAGATATTTATGACTTTTTAGTTGCTGCTTTTTCTTCGGTGTTTTTTTTTTTATTTATTTTGTAATTTTTTGTTTCGGTGTTTTTTCTTTTAATTTTGTAATTTTTTTTTTAAATATATATTACGTTGTATATTTGATTTGTTTTGATCTTTTTTAATGAAAATTTTAATTGTTTTCTCACCAATTAAACCTGACTTCAAATTTAAAGCCCTCTTAAATACCCCTCCCTAAAATCTAAAGTCGAAAGTTGAATTGATTCATTATCTAATTATCATAATATAATGATGCTGCATTCTTTTGTTAAAAACAGTTATTTGGTATGTTTCATTTATTGAACTCACTGCTTTTAAAATTTACCAAAACCCAAGGCAATATATTTAGCTATATAAATACAATTTATTTATCTCGATTCCATTCTTCATCTTTTATGTTTATAGTTCTTCATCTTTTATGTTTATAGTTCCCTTGAAGCATTTTATATTTTGCTTTTTTTATTATGAGTATTTTAAATCCGTTGTGATGTCTTTTAAATTTACTAAAAGCTAACATAAAAATTACGTTTTTAAAGAACACCAAAAAGAACAGCTGCATCCCTACAGCAACTGCTGCAGTATCACAATAGGTTACCAAAAGCAGGTATACTGTTTTCCAGTTGTTGTTTTTTTTTTCATATATATCTACTTATCTATATAATACTATAGTACGATTGTTTATATCTCATTCATTTTTTCTTTTTCTTTAAGTGTCAATAATTTTATTCTTTGAATGAGTTAAACAAGTCGGCTTTCCAATTCAAGATATTGGTTTCAAAATTGAACACCATTGGCAAAATGCTAACAAAACTAGGTAGTTTTTAAAAATCTGTTTTCTATTTAATACATTTTTTTTTAATATACTTTTTTAGTATACTTTTCTATAACAATCCTACTAATATGGAATCACGTAGCTTTCTAAATATGTTTAATTGTCGTCCCTATCGGTAATAAATATTTTAAATTATTTGATATGGTTTTCTTTACAATAGGCTATGCTTGGCTCCTCGGTGCTGTAAATGGTGGCTTGAACTTAATTTTTTTAAGAAAAATGTGTTTTATATATGCTTCTTTTTAAAAATATTTTTGTTACATATTTAACTATATATCATGTAAATAAATTTCTTTTAAAGATATGTAAACGTGATACTTGCTTTTTTACGGATTTTCAAAAAGTGAACAAAGCTTTAAATATATTTTTTAACTGTCTGATATGATTTTATCAGTTTTATTAAAGCTGAATAATTACTTCAAAAATATTGAGTAAAATCCAATTGCTTTTATTATTAACCTGATCTATACAAAAACCTGATCTATACAAAATTAACCTGATCTATACAAACATTGATGAAATAAAAATAATAATTTAACGCCAAGTTAAGGCAAAATGTATTCCGGACATTTTATAAAATTAGTATAAATATGGATTGGATGTATGCTGAAATAAATATGTTGATACACGTTCCCAGCCGGCAAATAACGTTGAAATAACGTTGAAATATCGTTGAAACCTAACGTTGAGTTTACGTTGATTTAACGTTTAGAATGAAAGTTTTTTTCAACGTTGATTTATCAACGTTAAATCAACGTTAGGTTCAAACGTTATATCAACGTTGATTCGACGCGAAAAAACGTTACAATAACGTTGAATTTACGTTGATTTAACGTTTAGAATGAAAGTTTTTTTCAACGTTGATTTATCAACGTTAAATCAACGTTAGGTTCTAAAGTTAAATCAACGCAAAATACATTATAAGAACGTTAAATCTACGTTGAAACACCGTTTAGAATGAAATTTTTTCAACGTTAAATTAACGTTATATCCAAACGTTAAATCGACCTTCAATTGACACAATCGTGACAAAATATATTAATATATTTTGCCCATATACGTTGTTTCAACGTAAATTGAACGTTATTAAAGCGTTTATCCTTATCCGATGATAAAAACTTTGATCACCATTGAAACTTATTATACATATCCAATAGTTGCTGTACAACTCTATTGGACTATAAATGTATATTATGCGTATTAAATATACTCATAGTCTAGAGTTAGACTATTTTTAGTTAGACATATTAGTAAAGAAAGTGATAATATTTGTTACTCTTTATGTTATTCTTTATGATATATATATATATATATATATATATATATATATATATATATATATATATATATATATATATATATATATATATATATATATATATATATATATATATATATATATATATATATATATATATATATATATATATATATTTAAATATTACATATATTTGAATAAAATTTATAATTTCTTTTCTTTACCGCCACCTTTTCGAAATGGAGCGTATTTTAGGAAATCAGACAATACTCCATTAATCAAATTTTCTGTCGCTCCATCGTATTTAATAGTAGAAGCTGTAAAAATAAGAAAATATAATGTAAAAATTAAAAAAGGAAGATTTAAAATAATATAATAAATTGAAAAGTTTCACATAAGTTATAAAGATATACCTTTAACAACGCCATATAAATTTGTGTTCTTAAAACAAATTTTGCCATTTTTGCCTTTCATACTCATGGTGGCCATAAAACTGTTTGAAAATATTTTAAATTTTTAAAAGATAATATAACTGTGAAATGATTATAAATGAATAATAATTTTTCAAATATTTAAATTGAATTCATTGTGAAATAATTTTTTTCTAAAATCATTAAACGAATATTTTTTGTAAAAAATAATTATGAATGAGATAAGAGCTATCAGTTAATTACCTCAGCATAATTTTGTGTATTTTATCTTTTAAAGATGTTCCACCAATTAATTGTAGCTGATTTACCTACAAAAAACAAAAAGTAAATCTAACATTATGGTTTGGGTCAAATATGATATCAAAACTTTGAACTATTTCAGATCTCTGAGACAAATTTTAATAAAGTGACTCAGGATTTTTCTAGGACAAGTTCTAAATCCCAAGAATTTTCTCGGACAATTTTTTTCCTATAAAATTCCAGAATTTGTTGATGTTTTCAAGGACCGTTGTCCATCTTTATAATGTTTTTTTATCTAAAGGGTATAATAACTAAATAACTATTTAATAAAATACACAACTCACCCACAATGAACGGACTTTTTCGTCATCTAATGTTTTATCCACTTCAGTTAACTCCACTTCTGATGAAATAAACCTTATTTGGTTTACAAATTCACTATTGGAAGCAGGCTCAATCAATCTGTTTTGATTTCGCATCTCATTTCTTATATCGGTAAGTAGATACAACACTCTCTTTTGAAACTCTACAAATTTTATTAAGTTTTACAAAATAGTTTGTATAGAAAGGAAATTCCTCAGTTTTCAAAACTTTTAAATGTTATATAAAATTTATATTTATACAAAATAAATAAATTTATTTAAAAATATAAAATATCATACTGCCCTCAGACATTGGAAACTTATCAACGTTATCTAATTTCTGTAGTTTATTTCCACTTTCCTTAACTTCATCGTGTGCTAAATGGTTTTTAAGTAATTCTTTATACAAATTGAACTTAAAACACATAATTAAAAAAGCTCTTTGTCAACACTTTGTATCACAATCAATTGTATATTACACTATATATTATAATTGTATCTTTTTTTTTTAAATAACACAATGTTATTTTAAATTAAATAAATAAATTTCATGAGACATTAACCTATATCTTCAAAAAACAAAGAAGAATTGATGTCTTCTTGGAAAAACTTTGGGAAAGGTGAGTTTAGGTTCTTTCCATCCATGTCAACTTTTGGTTCTAAAATTATAAATTGAAAGTAAAATTAAGTTACTCAAACCATTAACATTTATATTTCATAAATACAATGAAATGATAACACTTCATTGTATATATGAAATCATATATACAATGTATATATGATTTCTTAATAAACTTAATATATATATATATATATATATATATATATATATATATATATATATATATATATATATATATATATATACATACATACATATATGCATATACATATATATAAATATATATATATGTATGTATGTATGTATGTATGTATGTATGTATGTATGTATGTATGTAAGTATACATGTATGTATGTATGTATGTATGTATGTATGTATGTATGTATGTATGTATGTATGTACCTATAGATTTAATTGATGAACTACTGGAGGTCAGAAACATTGACACTTCATCCAAATCTTTGATAACTGAACCTGTAAAATATAATTACAGTTTTAAAGTATAAATTATGATAACTCAGGTATAAAAACAAAATTTATATAATACTAGCATATAAACCAATGCCTACTTGGAAAATAATCAGGAAATTCTCTTTGTTTATATTTTCTTTTTCGATGAAAATCAACATCTTCATTGTCGCTTTTTTCTTCTGTGGTTGTGAAATCAAAATTTTCACAATCCTGTTTGCTTTCTGTGGTGATGAAAAAGTTATAATAGCTCTTCTTCTTAGCCCATTATTTAAAAAATAATATTTTTAAGAAGTAGATGTAATACCTGAAGAGAATTTAACTTTTATTAATGGAAACTTCAGCCAATTCTTCTCAGGATTTTGGCGTGCTTTCATTGCGTTTAAAGCTTTTGTACCAGGAGGCCAATAAACTGTTTTATTATCTATCCAATTAGAAGGAATTACACCTTTTTCTTCTTGCAAATCTTCTTGCCAAACGGCTCTTTTCCACATATTTGTTTTAGAAAATCTTTTATGAACTAATATTAAAATGAAGAAACAAAAAACTATTTAAAATTGAATTTGCAATTAGTAAATGGCTCTAGCTAAATATGGACTCATAGCCAATACTATATAATAATAGCCAACACCACAACACTTTTTTATTACTTTTACATGATTATTTAATATTATCATTTTTGTTATTGATATTACTATTATTATTATTTTATATTATTTATATTATTTCTTGTTATTATTATAGCCTTTTAATTAAAAACTATAAAAATTATTGATGAAAATTATTAAAAAAAAGAATTAAAGAGGTATTAGTATTATACAAATTTATCATCATTTTTATTAAATAAAATAGGCATAGGTAAATTTTATATATTACAAAATAATAAAAGTTACCAAAACAATCAATAAAAAAAAAAAAAAAAAAAAAAATTAACAAACCTTCAAATAACTTTTTCCAGATGGCTTTAATAATGGGCTGATAACAAAAAATACTCTTTTTATACTAGTCAAAAATTAGGAAGTCAGACACATTGTCATTCTTTTAGAATGACAAAAGTATTAAAATACTATTTGCATAAACTTTTCCCAGACAAATGGCTTATTATAGTAAATGTTATGCTTGTATTAGCCAAAAATTAAAGTTGTTAGACATTCACAATTACTAAGCTGTTGCAATAATTAAAGATGATAAAAAAATATTTTAATTTTGTTTTACAAATTATTACTATATTGCTATTTTTAATATAATTGTTGTTCTTTTTCATGTTGTTATTATTATTATTATTGTTATTATTTTTTTTAATATTATTAGTTTATTATTGCTTTTTATTAAAAGCATATGTATATATATAATATATATATATATATATATATATATATATATATATATATATATATATATATATATATATATATATATATATATATATATATATATATATATATATATATATATATATATATATATATATATAATATATATATATATATACTATATATATACATATATATAATATATATATATATATATATATATATATATATACATATATATATATTATATATAGACATATATATATATTATATATACATATATATATTATATATATATATATATTATATATATATATATATATATATATATATATATATATATATTATATATATATATATATATACATATATATATATATATGAATATATATATATATATATATATATATATATATATATATATTATATATATGAATATATGTATATATATAAATATATATATATATATATATATATATATATATATATATATATATATATATATATATATATATATATATATATATATATAGCCAAAAATTAAAGTAGTTAGACATTCACAATTACTAAACTGCTGCAATAATTAAAGATGATAAAAAAATATTTTAATTTTGTTTTACTAGTTATTACTATATTGCTATTTTTAATATAATTGTTGTTCTTTTTCATGTTGTTATTATTATTATTATTGTTATTATTTTTTTTATTATTATTAGTTTATTAATGCTTTTTATTAAAAGCATATGTATATATATAATATATATATATATATATATATATATATATATATATATATATATATATATATATATATATATATATATATATATATATATATATGTATATATATATATATATACATATATATATACATACATTATATATATATATATACATATATTATATATATACATATATATATATATATATATATATATATATATATATATATATATATATATATATATATATATATATATATATATATATATATAAATGTATATAATAACAAAAACAAATATTATAAATCAAACATTACTAAATAAATACAGTTGACTTTATAGAATGGTTTCCTTTATAGGACGCTGTATATACAATCCGAAAAGTAAAAAATCATAAATAACTTAATATTTAAAAATAAGTTATTTTACATTTGACTTATATAACATGCAACAATGGAAAAATAGCATATCCTTGTTTGTACGGCAGATAAGCTGCTTTAATGCATGTAAATCCAGAGCTTTTATATATTTTGGCCTTCTTAGAGGTGTTTGTTTAAAAGTACAATATGCTATATTTAAAATTTTTGAAGAGCAAGGGACTTCAAATAGATTGCTCATGTCAGCTTTGCTGATAACGTCACATAAAAAATATTCACCTCGTTTTTCTTTGAGGAAAATATAACTGTCTTCTAAATAAAAGCAGCTATCACGCTCACAACAAGAAATAACAATCGAGTGGTCTTTTGAGGTCTGTGAGAGTTTGCTACACTTTTCTATTTCAGTAAGCTTCTTAACTACCTGACAGATAGGGTTGTTAGCGTTTTTTACTATTTTTTTAACTTTTCCAAGATAATTTTCAAATGAGAATGCAGAAACATTGTCAAGGGAGCAATCAAAAAATTTAACATCTTCGTGAAGATGCAGCAAACTATGTACGTTATAAACACAAAAAGTCTTTCCGTAAAACTCAGATGCTTTTTCAACAAAGTAGATAATGAGTTTTTGTGCATAGTCAAGGTTAGATGTTCTCCTTTCTTTATTCCCATCCAACATAATTCTCATTGCTATCGATAGTGTAAGAAAATGTTCAAACTGAGATCTGCTTAACACACCTTTAAGCACAATAGCACCTGAATAAAGAAGAAATTCACGAAATTCAGTAGCTTTCCACTTGTCAAAGTCACTTAAAGAGCGTGGTTGCCTTACAAATTCACTTGTAAATTTTCCTTTTAACAAAAGCAACCCATTTGAAATAGTATTTAATTGCACCTGTGATAATCTATACTCCCTTGGGCCATTTTTCAAAAAATTCAGAATACGTCTAACCACTCCAAGACATACCAAATGCATGTAGTCTAAGGAAAATCCTTGAACACATTTTACATTGATTGAAATTAAAGGCGATTTGGTAATTTGATGAGCCTTATATCCCATTTCATTAAATTTTTCATCTGTTCGCAAATTTTGTACAATATGATTTTCATAAATCACCCTTCCATTCCAAGCTCCTTTAACTGTACACCTTTCACAAGCATTATATCCATTATGATTAACTGTACCTTTGATAAATGCTCTTGCTGGTGCATCGCAAATAAGTGCTCTAATAACAACATTATACTTCTTTTGTCCAAAATATATGCCATCTAACTGAAGTTGTTTGTATTCGTTTAAAAAATCAAGCATAAATTCATAAATATTAGATGGTTTAGATTTTCCATAATATAATGCAACAATAAAAGGCTTAGAATTTACAATTCTACATAAAATAGGCCAAAGGTTCATTGATGTAGACCTAAACAAAGGTAAGCCATCAATATTTATATCAATTAGTATTTTTTTGTCTCTAAAAATTAAACAATCTTTACTTGATGCAGAAACAGCATTTAATAAACCAGTCTTAAGACCAAAGTAATAATATTGACCACCACACTTGCTTTCTACAACAACTGAGTTTGGAGTCTGAAGCAACGTTCTTTTATCTTTCGGTAGACGATGCCCTTCTGCTATCAGTATAGATAACAACTCGTTTATACATTCTTGTGAACAACCATGCTTTACTGCCCATTTCGCCAGTTTGCCGTCAAGTGAAATATTGTTTTGCTCTAATTCTTCTGAGAAAAATACGTTATCGTCGTCACTTTGAGACAGATAATCATACAAAAAATCTTCACTTTCATAATCGCTTTCTGAATTTTTTTCTTCTTCTACATGACTGATGTTATGAGTAACTTTTGGACGGTCATTTTTTTTCTCCAGCTTTTCCTCTTCACAACTAGAAGATGATTCTGCCAAAGCTAGCACATTAAAGTGGCATTTTCGCCAGTTTCTTAAATAAGCCATATTTTTTTAGTTTACAAACAAGTAGGAAGTTAAATACTGACTATATTTATAAAATCAAATAATGCGGTATAAACGCATAACCGATTCTGTGTCATACTAAAAGATAATTTAATTTACTTTTTGGCCTTTTCTTATTTTACTTTAAACATCAACTCAACGCATAGTCATAACTATGCGTTACTATTTAAACGTTGTTGAAAAGACGTTATTTCAACGTTATTTCAACGTTGACAAAAAAACTCAATTATAAAATATATTTTATAATTGAGTTTTTTTGTCAACGTTGAAATAACGTCTTTTCAACTACGTTTAAACAACGTTGGTTAACCAAATCGCAACGTTAAAATAGCGTTACTGTTTAAACGTTGTTGAAAAGACGTTATTTCAACGTTATTTCAACGTTGACAAAAAAACTCAATTATAAAATATATATATTTTATAATTGAGTTTTTTTGTCAACGTTGAAATAACGTTGAAATAACGTCTTTTCCACAACGTTTAAACAGTAACGTTATTTTAACGTTGCGATTTGGTTAACCAACGTTGAAACAACCTTTCAACCAAATATCAACGTTGAAACAACGTAATAATGCCGGCTGGGTTAGCTATTAAAGTAAATCCATATATTCCTTTATTATTTTTTTATAAGCAAGTTTCTGCTGGATTACTAATTAAAAAAAGGTTGGTTTAATAAAAATCTTTATCATAATAATATAGGGTCCGTATGCAGGGCTAAGCCTTTTTCGGAAATGCGATATATTTTTCAACTTATGGTTTTTCCGGATATTGAACTTCTATGCCTACAAGTTTTGGTGTAATATTTTAGATGTTTTAAAAATTAAAAAAGTACATTAATAACATTTAAAAGTTTAGGTGCGATAGTGACAGATTTTTAAGCTCTTCACTCAGTAAAATAAAAAGTTTTAAAAAAAAGAAACGACTCAGTTTAAAGCAAAATTGAGAGTAGAATATATTCCCAATATTTACCTAAACAATTTTACAGAATTTAAAAATTTGACATCGATGTTCTGTGCATATAATTCAAGTCATTTTTAATTACTACATGGTTGTGATTTGCGCATTCAATGTCTGAACATTGCAAAAGAAATGGTTAACTTTATCTTTAATGAAGCTAAAAGTTTTCTTAAACTAAGAAGCCAAGAAAAATAAAAATGAGCTCAACTAAAAAAATGTATAAATAAATTTATATTTCATTAGAGAAAGCAAATTATTAGTAATTTTTTATTTACTACTAACCCGTATTACGGGTTGCTTACTGTATAAATAAATTTATATTTTATTAGATAAAGTAAATAAATATCAAATTTTTAGTAATGATTTATCTACTGCTAACCCGTATTACGGGTTGCTTACTGCTAGTACTTAAGTAATCTCACTTGTTGTCTAAGATAAGAATTAACTTTCCTACACTTTTTACACTTTATTTTAATTTTTGATTTATCACATGTTTAAAATTATATCAGAAACATCATTGATGTTAAATAAAAAAATGTTAAGCAGGATTTACAATAAACTCCTCCTTTAATACTTCAACAACTTAATAATTAATGGTTAACCTTTTTTTAAGAACTTGGATGTCTTTATAAAACCTATTTTTCTTGCTTAGATAAATTTGAACTGTGTATTTAGTATTATTTAATATCAAAATTTTATGCAGTTTTTTTTATTTTAACAATCTTTTTCGTTAAAGTTAATACGCGTAAATTTAATCTTTTTATTTAAAGTTAATGCACGTAATTTTCTCTTTTTATTA